CTGAAAACTATAATTAGGCTATTTCAATCAAGACATGTTAAGTTTTAAACTAGCATAATTTAATTATATTTTTTTGTTAACACTAACCAACAAACAATGTTCATGTAAACAGATTTGCATGAATTATGTTTTTAATCAAAAGAGTGTCATGGTGAAAATGATTACATTTTGTTATTAAATTGGACATGGATTTTGCATTAGCCTTCGCAGAAGTCCTGTTTGCACTTTCAGCCTCTTTTTGGTTGCCAAAAGTAAAAAAGATCCATCTTTCTAAGACTACGTGATTAGCGCCGACAATACAGGCTGGGGTCCAAATTAGTGAAACGGGGTTGGAGATTGAAAGTAGAGGTCAGCTCACAACAGGAAATAACAGCTTGGTCAGCAGCAGTTAAAGTGTGAATGTCACTAAATGTATGGCCGTGGAAAGGTCTCTGTGGGGCAGTAAATGAAACACACAGACGCACAAACTTGTCAACACTGTGACCAGTTCACAACTCCCCTGGGATGTGTTATGAAGCCGCAAGGCCAGCATTTATAGATCTTCACTACTCCCCACAAACACACACAGACACACACACATCTCCTCAAAATCACACACAACAAAGAGTAATTGGGCTTCCTGTTTGCTCTACTTCCTGGTTGGACCTAAAGGTCTGTGGAAGGAGAGCTATCTAAAAAATGTTTTCATTCTTTTCCATGAAACTGTACCAAGTTCCTCAGTGGAGATTGAAATAAAAGGGAAGCAAGATAAAGAAGATGAAGTGCAGCAACAACTGGAATAAAGATTTTCCTGATGTTATTTAAAATTAGACAACGCTGTCCTTAAAAATCAATACCTGCAGAGCTACACATTACTCAGTAGGATGAGTATGAGGACATTAGTTAAGTCAGTCTTTAGGATTCAGTCATCCGGCTGATGGAGGCTCAGGCTGGACAACATGCTCACAGTTTTACAATATGAAAATATTTAACAGAATCCATCAATCCATTGTCTCTATTATATTGTTCGTGTAGGAGTATGTGGGGATGCCCAACTCCAGCATTCAGAGAGTGAGAGGTGGGGTAAACTGAGAACAAGTTGCCATTACATCACAGGGCAACATAGAGACAGGACAAACAACCATGCACACACACACACACACACACACACACCCTTAGAGCGATGAAGTCGGAGTACACAGAAGGCACAGGGAGAACATGCACACTCCATGCAGAAACACCCAATGTTTACCA